AAGTATGTGAATATAGAGATCGGATTATGTTTACAAACTTCTGGGGCATACCCTGTTGAGCAAGTGTAGTTAACAGAACTGATCGATCAACAGAATCGAACGCACCCTTGAAGTCAAGGAATACCAGGATTGTGGGTCGTCTGTACATGTGGCGTTGCTCTAACACCTGACGGAGTGTGGTCTGAACAAAATATGATGGAGAGAACAGCGTCGAATGGATCAGTCAAATTTAAAAATGACAATGCAACGAACCAGTTGGACCACAAGCAAGATTACCTCCAAACGGTTGAGCACGTTAGAGCAATAAGATACTGGTTAATAACCATATAGTTACAAACAGGAAGGGAGGGAATACACATCCAACCGTAAGCTGATGGTAATTTCCAGAGTAGTGACGAAACTTTTGCAAGGAAACTGCCGATTTGGCAGAGAGGCCAAATTTTTCCTGTCTAATATGTATGACTAGCTCACGTAAATTTACGGAGGACCTTTTAGATTGCCGCGTCGGAGGTGAACCCGAATGATGTTAAGTGTTGTTCGTGCTATTGATTTTCCTGCAAAATTTAAGCACATTTTACTCATAGTGGTCAAGTCTACTGTATTTTCACCTCCATTGGGATTCGTCCGTAGTTGAAATGTTATTGTTATCTTCAAGTTGGAACAGACGTTTTGCCATTTTGAACTTCAGTTCGTTTTTGCTTGTGATGCTGTGAAGACTTTCACTTGTTGCACTGGATGGGGTTTTCATTCATAGCAGATGCCGAAAAGGAGGGCATATTTCATTGCAAGTATTTCCTAAAATCTTTTGTGGCTGACCTTAACCATTCATTCACAATACCGAGAGCACCAATGCATTATTAATGCGACGGCTACCCAGTTGTGCCAACTAATGGATTCGCAGATAACTCAACCATTCCAACTTCAAAGAAATTGCATCATTCTTGCCTTGAAGATACTTCATTCCTTGAGACCACCTAGTGCATTTTATGGCTGTCTTGGATTTGGAACTATTTAGACCAGTTGGGCCTTTGTGCATATTTAGTCTACTACAGTTGGTTTGGACGTAACCAACAGCAAAGTGCCCGATACTGATGTAGACCTGAGGGATTGAGATACACTGGAGGAGACACGTGCGGAAACAAACTCTGACCTTTGTATCCCAATGCATGAAATAACAGACATACTGAAAACTCCAAGAATGTTTAACCGTTTATTCGAATTCGTGTTCTGTGGTCTGTTAGACTGACCTATGTTATTTTGCATGAATGTTGTTAGTTACCCGGAAATTGTGCACCAGTCTTGCTGTTCCAAGGTATTTAGACAGCGAAATAGACGGTATTGTGTAATCTAGGTACATATCCACAGGTGGTGGTTTCTCCAAACCTGTTTAATAGGCCGCTCAGTTGCTATATTGGATCCCGCAGGTAGAATGCTGAGAAAAGACGGGCATTTTGGGACTGCGTCTAAAAAAAGTGAGGTCCAGCGGGCTTCACCTAAGGCTTGGCTATTGTGAATTATCCTGCGTAAGCCTGTCCGCCCAGGAAGATCTTGCAGCTAAGTAGAAGCTTTTTATGTCGAGAAGAATGCCCTGGTATGGATTTCCGCAGCAGATCCCACGAGCTAAAAATCCATGTCGTGTTAATTATTCAGTCTGAAGTGCCTACTGATTGGGACCCCGATGCAAAAGTGTGTAGTTCGTAACTCATCGTTTTCTGACAAGTGTGAATTAGTGTTTCGTATTCCGAAGAAGTATGAGGAGGGAGTGACATTGGAAGTCTTCAGAAACCTGTTTGTAAGTTAACGAAAATGTCTTTTCGAAAAACAGTTATATTTGTTTGCTATTGACATTTTACCACCTGGAGCACAACAATTTTCAGCCGTCATCATTCGCAAACTCAGATATTTACCTGGAAATACCATATAGTACCATACTATACTACACTTTATACGCTACACTATACTATGCTACACCGTACTGTACCGATATGCCACTATACTATGCTATACAATATCACACTGTACCAAACTACACCACACCCAAATACACTACAGTGTGCCATAATATGCTATACTATACTATACCTTACTGTACCATAACATACTATACTATAACAAACCATAATACAACATACTGTGCTACACTATAGTATAATGCGCTATATTATACTCTGGTATACTACTGACAGAACCGTTCAGAAGAAGCGCGAGAAGAGCAGCCAGTGGATACCTTCGCACTACACAATCAAATAAAAGACATACTGACGCAGTAAGTTGGAATCGGCTATATTAATGTCAACTAGTTCAGGCAGTAGTTAGCAGTGGATCATTAACTATTTCCACCGGTGTGGCAAAAATCTGTTGAAGTGATCTTGTGATAAAATACTCTTTTAAAGTCATAAACGAGAGAATCACCTGGGTTCTATGTGAATCTCCCGCCAAAATCAAATTGCTAAACGGATGATTGTATAAACCGACCCACGTAAAATGTTTGCACACCCATCTATGGTACATTCTAGGGCAACACGATGCACGGTATGGTGTGCGTAAGCTAACTGTGTTTATGCTACCCCCATGAGGGAGACTTATCAGTAAAGAGCACTTTGTATAGCAAGGAAAGCAGTGGTGACTACTGTGAGCTCAAAACTTACTAAGTTGACTGTTAGTTCCTCTTCGTCCGTCTCTTTACTCCCCATTGGTAATGCAACGAATGGCGTTTTGTTCAATTTGGAAAACTAGCTGTATCAGCCGATTACGCGTATGCCACCTCAAGTTGGAAAAGTTGTCAATCCTCATTCGTTAGTGTCACTGGGAAACGTCGAGTCGAATCCCCTGTCAGTGAATACCACATTAAAACCGTTATATTCGGAAATACCCTACCTGGCTCTGTTGCGACATAAGCTAGAAACTTCAACCTTAGTCCCACATTCGAATGATAAGTGTTTTTGTGCTTATTGGAAGATAAGATGTGGTCCCCCTGGATGAATCTGGCGCGTATCAGGGCGTATAGAGTGTCAAAAACTCAAGTCTATGTTATCCAGTTGGTAATACCTTTGTCAGCCAATCAAAGAGGTTTCGGATTCCCATCGATTTTCATCGACGTGGCAATCGTGCAATACTCATGAAAACGATGAAACCCCGAAAAGCATTAAACTGAGGAAATCAGTGTTTCAATAACTGCTTGAATTGTGATATTTCACTCGTTTTCTACCGTCGGCTTGTTTGTCAGTGAACATGTCTGCGTTTAACTGTATCTACGTAAATGCATAAATCGGCACGCGTGCTAGCACGCTGAGTCTGTAAGTATATGAGGTTCAGGTGCTGATAAGTCACACCGAGTGTACTTTTTGTCAACTCTTAAGAATGCTTAAACTTGCGGCCATTCGTGGAAACCAGACAAATAGATGAACAATATTGTATGCGTGTATGCACGAATATATGCATGCATTTATGTATGTGTGTGCATTGGTCTGCTATTATCATTTTTATTGGATGCTAATAACAACCGTTATCATATTGTGGATCCGGTCATTTCACGTTCGTCCATTGTTATATTTTATTATTTTGGTTGGTGTGTTCCACAGGACCGGTAGCTTTATCCGGGTTCTTTACAGACTTGGTGAACTGCCACGAGCTTTCGTTAACAAGTTCGTCTTTTCTTCTCAGATTCCCCCACACGGCTCACGTATATTGTCTCGATATATAACTTAGCTCGCAGTAACTGTATACTTTACCCAACATGAACTCCACGCATTCAGCGCTACTAACCCTACGATCTTGTCTGTTCAACTGGGGAGTTATTTAAGATTTGGCCGCGTTGCGTCCCAGACATCCATGTTCGCAAATCTCGTCTTATACCTCCCTACAAATACTGCTTTTGAAGATGTTGCAGTCAACTTTGTGCAAAGCTGAAGGAGGACATTCTGTCAAGCATGTGTCCAGGTAAAACCTTATCAAACGTATTGCACGAATTTGTGATGTAAATATTGAAAAGGATCTGTCATGCAGTCAAGCTAAATGCTTCTGTTTCTGTTGTCGAACATGGAAGGACACATATCATGGTGCGGAAATCCCAGATTTCCAGTATGGGCAACATCGAGTATTCTTGGTCAAGCACTCAGACCGTCTGCACTCTGGCCACGCACGCTTACCTACAACCATACAAGTGACATGTCTCTTCTAAACTAGAAGAGAAACTCTTTTGGTCGTCATCATCCTGGATAGGTTTTCTTAGTCCAAGCCAACCGATGAACTGTAGGCATAACAAGTGGCGTTCGTGCATATTCATGCGTTGGAATTTTTCATTTTTGTAGCTGTAATGTGAATTTCCTAGTATCAAGCCGTACACTTAAACATTTCTTTCAATCCAAAATGTTATGCTTTTGAAACCGCCTATTTTGTTAACAGGTTGAAACTATCGAAATGTCGATGATGTCTGATGATCGCATGGTTAACTAGGGGAAACACTGAGGAAATTCTGGTGAATGAAGATAAACCAATTATGGACTGGATCTTACCATGGAGTGACAGCTTGTGCGCTTCCGTAATACACTAAGCTATAGTGGCCGGGCGATAGGGGCAGAGTCCCTTATATCAGGTTAGCCAGCAGGACAGTCTCCCAGTTCCCCAGGTTTGGGTTTGGAACGTGTGGCCAGTTATTCTCTAGAAAAGTGTAATGCCCTGGCATGATCAGGATTTTAAGCCGGAGGTTTTGGTTGAGGACCCCTACATAGGTCTGAATACCTTGACAGTATTCCAGCTCAAGTCAAGTACCGATACCTGCAATTAACATTATTGTCATACCAAATCGGACGTCGCGTGGTGCCATCTGCCGGGTCACCTCACTTGCTGCATGCACCATGGTGGGTAAGCGACAACAGGCTACTCCTGACGCCTCCTTTCTTCATCCACCTACTTTCCCATCCTCATCCACTCACATCATTATTAATTCCCTGTAGGCCTATCCAATAGCACCGTAGAACCCGTTCATCTAGCATCCGTTTTGGCCGTAACATCTGCGCGTCAGCCAACACTGACAGCCTTGGGCGTCTCAAAATCAATAGTCTAGCCTCGACGCCCGGTCTATCTGGTTGCTTTAAACGTTCGCACTATGAATCATGTAGGATTACAAGCTTTTCTTGCTTTCATACTGGACTCGCTTGACATTGATGTGTACTGTGTATCGGAAACAAGAATTTAATGTGCAAGCTCAGTGGTCATGCTGACCGCCCTATCACTCTTCACTCGGGATACCGGCTACACAACCCTGGCGATCCAGAGGCCATTGTAACAGGATGTGCAGGACTCGACATCGTCCTAAATCACCGGGCGGAAGAGTCCCTGCCTGACTGGATGCCTGCTAATAGTAGTTTCTGTGCAGTTTGTTTGGTGGCATCCGCGTGTGATAGCACCCGGGGAGCACTCTACAAGCTTGTGTGATAAAATGATGTCCGGCAAGGATTCCAACTCCGTCCATTCTTGTTGGACGTGAAAATGAGACGAACGCTGGAAGTTCCTTAAATCGCTGGTGTTCAGATAACTTCTGGCAAAATTCTTGCGAGCCTGGGATATGCAGGCGGCATTGTTCTCGCTTTCGAAGAGAAAAACAAGAAAGCGCTTTACATCCATAAAATGTGACGTCATGCTTCCATATTATGACAACGATTATCCTTTGATTCAGGAAAAATACTGGCGTAGTAAGCGAACATCTGCGTTTTAGAAATGTTCATTAACGGAACTATGATGGTAATTCACTGTAGAATGGTCCATTTAATGGACTTTGATGGAATTTGGTATTTACAAATAACTGATGTGTTCGTTTTGTTCCGTTTCCTTTGACAAACTGAGCTTTCATAGTGCGTTTTCATAAAGCTTTCTTTAACCCTCTCATCAATCGTTTATTTTTCTAGTATTCTTGTGATGGACCAACAATTGCGAATACAGGGTACACGTACGGAAGCTATTATCGAGAAACTGGGCGTTAAGACGCGAGAGTACACAATGGATGAAGGAATTTATCCTGGGGTATGTTTTAAACTATGCAGTCTTCAATGTGGATACTGACCTTCAATACGCATTCATAGACAAGCAGGCATAAGTTACATCGAAACATCTATGCTCAGCCGAATTGCAATGAAGCCCTCTTTTGATGAAGCCCTCTTACTGATTATCCGATTATACATTAGAGTGATATTTGCCACCCCTTATCTGTTAAAACAAGTAATGCGCGCTTGAGTCAGAATGGCATCGGAAACCGTGTTAGCCCACAGTCTGAGGCTGGTATGAGCGATTACGGAAGTTATCGGAGTTAGTTATGAATCTTGGGTTACTGTTTTTTGGTTTTCGGTAAGGTATTTATACAGCCACGTCTATTTTCGCGCGATGTCGTGTGATTCTGGTTAACAGCCAAATGGTGAAAAGTCTAAAAATGGGAAGCTACTGACAAATTGATTACGACACTGGTTAAAGATCTGGTGAGCGTTTGTCAGATGAAGTGAATTTTCGTATCGATCCTTCTGGAACTCACCAAGGGAAATGCGTTCAGCACATTAGCCTGGTTTTACTAAAGGCTCCCAGACAAAATACACTAGTCTTCAAAACAAGCTGTAAAAACCAACAGACAGGAAGTCAACAGGCGAATCTGGTTTGTGCACATCTATGTCGATATACTGTGTCATTCGATCGTTTCTAATTATTTTGGTCGGTTGAGTGTGGAGAAATTAATTAAGCCCGAGCATCGTACGGTGCTTCCGCCATTAACTTTAGGGCCTAAATTATGAAGTTTGAGAATTTATTCGCAACACAAGGAAACGGCCTACACCATACAGCCTCTGAAATAAAACTTCTTGCCTTGTGTTCAGCGGATTTATATTATGGGACGAATTTGTAGGTTGACCAACAGAGATGTATTGCCGTCCCAAAACGTGTGTTGTTACTATGCTGGCATTTACAGTTTATCCTACGTTTTTAAAAATGACTTATTGTGTTTCATTCGACATAATTCACTGATATGCTTGGGGAGGAGTGCGGCTTTCTTAAAAAATCATACCCGAATTCGTCCTTGCAGATCTTTTGTGCACACTGGTCACGACATCCCGTGTAGATAAGGCACACGAAGCTATTTGAATCCACATTGTCTAGTGTGCCGTGAGGAGTCTCTATCAGTCATCGACGCTCTAGTTTTCTCTTGATAGGCCATTAGTATTGCCTGCTGACTAGTTTTTGAGAGCTGCAGCAACTAGTGCCCAAGACCCTGTTCAGATGTCATCCAAGTGACTTCTGTGGGCCCGCAATGCGGAGGCGCTTATGAGTTACTTCTGGCGGTATCAGGTAGCGCGTAGTTCTACCAGTCCGCCTATGCTTGTTTTCAGAGTTAGTTGATCCTGACTGGATCAGCCGCAAGATCCGGTTTGTTGGCCCGCCAGTATCTGATTTATCGAAGTAATTCACGGCCTCAGGCCTTCTCGAAGCACTCCACGTAGGACTAGAACGTTCAATCGGCTATACAAGCATCACTATCTATTGCAGTCTTATGATGTTATCGAGACAGGTAGGAATGCGCGGGACAGTGGTTGTCACATCGGTCACCCATGCTGGAAACGGCGTACGGATAAGCGTACCTAAATAACTAGCGATGACGCTTAAATGTAGATCAGATTATCTCAGTTAAAATCGAATTCGTCCATAACGTTAAAATATTATTGCCAAAATACGGGGCGATAGATTTGGGTTCCCGGTTTAGCCTTTTAGATATCCAATTGGAAACTGATGCGGATAGATCTTATCACCGTACTAAACGAAAGTGAACATTCTCGTTTAATTAGAGAGCTCAGTGCCTTTTATGTAAAAAAAAAATGACTCAAGTATGGCCCCTAGGTATAATTTTTTTGAATGCCGTAACATTACGAATGTATCTGGAGGATTAGAACATAAATACATAAACTGCAACTTCGAGAGCGGGATGAGACAATGTCTGCTAATAAGTTAACACGCAGGGGACTACCTTGGAATCAAGTGAATTGTTCGTCCTTGGTTTCAGTTTGGCTTTTTCTTGAAAGTTCTATCGGAAATGTCCATCTAAAGAAATATCGTTCAGTTCGGAAGATACTGATCTGAAAACTCTTGGACGGCTCACTCACAATTTGCTCCACTTGACGCGAATTAGATGAGCGAATTCTTTGAGTTTCCGTCAATTTAATGCTCTGCTTGAACATCAACTTGTGAGTAACTGAAAAGCTTTTATTCAAAATTGTTTGACTACACACTGCAGTCTCAAGACCAGGTAGATAAACTTAACTAAACCAGTCTTCCGATAATCCCCATCCTCGTTCTGAAGGCTGGTGTTGATGTGCAGCTACTTTATCATTCACGCTCATATTACCCGTTTCAACAGTTGTCCTCCTCTCCTGGCGCAATCATTCTGATGTGTCTACACCGCAGGAGTAAGCACTGGATCGGAGGTTTGCTCTTATTGGGGCTTATCAGCAGTGCATTCACTTAGCCGTGCCGGAGGTTGAACTCCAGCCAACTGACATGAAGTTTTTATTCCTCCAAATGAGGTTTAAATGTTATGGGTGTTCGTATAAATACCAATGTTTTATCTCATGATATTCGGATGGTAGTTCACTAACATTTTATGCAGCATAAAGAGTGTCTGATTGACGTCGTTTGACTCAGGTGTTGTGGTGCTGACTGATTTGAGCGGAATGGTACCTGAAGGAGATCGATATTTGCCCCCTATACCAAGTGAAGTGCTAGTTATTCTCCTGATAATTGTCCAGATTTTCCGTGCCCAGTACGGTGTTCAATCTAGCCTGGGGCTCCAGTCCATTGTTGCCTTTAACTACCCCGAGGTGTGCGCAAAATGTGCGAACCTTTCTTGCGTTTTGGGAATCAGGTGGACCGAGATAAGCAAACTTGTCAGGACCCCACCATCTACCGGGTGGTCCGATTTTGGATGTTGACAACCACTATACAAAGATGGTTAAAGCCGTATTAGATTCTGGAAATTATGTGAACCAACTCAGTCAAGCTCTCTCAAGAACTGGATTTCTAATAGGACGATAGATTCGTTAAAAACCTGATGGCCGATTCTCTCTAAAAAAAGTAATCGACCTTGACACATCCTCCGACCCCAAGTCATAATGAGTGCCCGCACACACGCGGAAGCTTGGTGGATCCCGGTCGAAAAAACGAGAGAAGCAGATAATGCTGGAACTGTCCTGGGGTTGTTCCACTTGACTCCTACATAGGTGCTCGGGAAGCCTATTTGGAGTGCAGCCATCACTAATCACATTGGCATTATGAGATCCAGGAAGGATAAAGTTCGGGACCGCTGGGCAGAACAACCTGAGCAAAAATTCATTCGATCACCAGATAACTCCTATCCGCACTGTCGTCCTTTTAACGAGACAAACTGTGAGTATGAAACCCATTTAACCTAGATGTACGTATATCATTCCTCAAGCGTCACCAGGCTCCTGGCCCCAACAACCTCCCGCCAGATGTGTTTAAGGACGGCAATGAATTCTTCTATCAATGCCTAACTTATCTGCTTCTTTTCTGGAGACTGTTCCGGGACACTGGGATGGGTCGGTAACAGTTCCTGTCTCCGAAAAGGGTAGTTAGAGGGATGACAGTTTGACCCCCATTGTACCAGGGCTTCTGGCGCCATTGATTCAGTGTCCGCTCGAGGCGGTGCGGGAAACCTTAACCCGTGTGCAGAAGCGAGGTAAAGGGAGCATCAACATGTTTACACTCTATGCGGTGTTCGGGCAGTGCCATAGTTTCTAGTGACCCACATTCTCGGTTTTCCACGACCTACTGAATGCGTTCGATTTTGCCGGTCAGCCAGTTCTAACCACGCTTGCTCAACAGGTCTTATATTCAAATACATCTGGTTATGTGAGGCTGTATGGGTACCCCACTGAAAACATCCATACAAACGAATATCTTTGTAATGTACTACTCATAAGGTTGCTGAAAATCCATCGACAGCCCACGACCGGTTTCGCCGTTTTTGGGGCTCATGGGGTAGGCGCAGTCCCCGGGTTTCCGTCAACCTTATGTTCTACTTGAAACCATATTGCACGAAATTAGCGAATATACACTCATTTGCAAACTAATTTGGTTCTTTCGAGAGACTCACCTGGAACCCAGCTGAATCTCTCGTTTATGATGTTCTCAGGCAACTGAATGTGCTGCACCAGACCGCCTCATGTTTCAGTCGCTACGATATATCCCTACAAACGGTTGGTACTAGAATGGATATGCGCTCTCTCCACTTTGTTGAATTCCGACACTGATGAACTAATTGGACGAGTTCTAGAGAGTCTTCACACCTCCGGTGTGCAAATGGCTTCCGATGAGAACCTTATAGATCTGGATTACGCAGGCAACACTGACCTAACATGGGAAGACGAGGACAAAGCGGAGCCACGAAATCTTGCCAACTGGAAGTACAAAAGTCGCTTTGATAGAAGTCTGGCATATAGGACATAGAAAGCCAGCTGATGTGTCAAAATAGTCTAAGAACTTCAGTCCTCCTCTTAGACTCTGGTTGGAAGTGGCTATCCGGAAAGTTATAACCACATATATTTGGACGCACTCAGTACGATCATGTTACCCCCTCTGCAAATGTTACAGAAATCTCCATTCATATGATTACCATTCAGGGACAACTTGGCATTGGATTACCGGTCGACTGTGAACGCCCATCAAAGAACGACCAACGTCGTACGACTGACTAACCACTTTCACCACAAACCTCGAAACAAACTATCGGTCCATGACTGTCCTATGTTGATGTGTTCACTCGGTTATGAATGTGACGCAACCAACCGGATGGTTCCGCCAGGCACCCATCACAACGAATGCCTGAGCACAAAGTAGTTTCGATCAGAAATGGGGTGACCAAACAGATTAGTAGAACAACCACAGCTCACCTAGCTGACACCACCAGGTCAACCCAGTGTCCTTGACCGTGTGTGTGTGTGTGTACGGATGGGAAGCCGTCCATCAGCCTATGCTAATGGTGGCTTAGGCCATAGTCATACTCTAGCACAGCCCAAACCTTTGTTTGCAAAAGCGAGATCTTCATCACCTTACCTTGGATGGCTGAAGTCACACCTCTGAAACATCAATATCCATTGAATAGTTGGCTCATCACAGCACGAGCTTCACCGTAAGTCCAGGTAGTCACCAGTACGAAGTGATGCGTAACCGATGGAAAGACAGAACCATTAGCCATTGGAAACGTTAAATCTAGAGTTGTACCATGGTCTCCCCAAGGACTCAGAGTTTGATATCATATTTCGCCATGCGGAGAACCCCCATGAGATATCTGCGAGTTTTGGGTATTTGTCGCTTCAAGACAAGTGCTCAATCCTAATTCAACCCTTTAAATTCAACTTGAAAGGCGCAGATGAACACCGAACTGGTTTGACGCAGTGGTACTTTTTAATCAGTTTAGTAGGGTAAGGTTGGTTAATAAAGGAATAACTGGTGGATATTTTTGACGATATTTGCAAAAAGAGAGTTTCCTCCTAAAACACCACAGGGGCCACTAACTCAACCAAATTCGATATTTAGCCCTGTGAACAGTGGAAGCTGGTGAAAAGTTGAAAAGTGAAGCATGAAAAGATACAGTCAGAGTAAAAATATTTCACACAGGTTCCAGGGCAGTGGTTTTATTCGTAAGGTTGTTTCTAACGCATTTAGACAGATAGCTATATTTGATAAAACACTGACCTCATTTATTCTCCCGGAACAACAAACACATTGAAAGACCAGTTGGTTGACGGTGACATTCCTTCCAGAATACAAATAACTTACGAAACATATGGGCGCAGAATACCAAACGTGCATCTATCTTCTCGACAGTAATACGACAGAAAGCTTCAATCTGTGGAGCAACACTGTGAGAGTCCCTTATAACTCTTGAAAAAAAACAACCCAGACCCCTTTATGGAGGACCATCTTTGCCGTATGCGAACATACCCAGCATGTTGTCAGTGAGAACTCTGTCGAATTTTTCACTTAATAACACCAAATTGAGCATCGCAGAAGTGCGGTAGATTCAATGCTATTTTTATTGTAAACATTCTGTTTCCTACACATCAGAGGCCAGTGAATGTTCACGTTTCCACCAAAACCAAAAGTTTATCGAACTGAAATGGCAGCCGTTTCTTTACATCAAGAAGGCGTCGACCACCACTGAATATACAGGTCACCTAACTAGGTCTTTGCTAAACAAGCTATCGGGTATTGTGAATGAATGTGAAAACGGACAGCGAAATCAAGCAAAGGGGATTGATTATATGGGCTTATCTACTAAAGACCTGAACTAAAAATAGCCGATAAATTAAGTGCGTGTGTGTGTCAAAAATTTCAAGTGCGAATCTGGTGGCAGGTTAGCAATTCGCTAGCAGGCATTTCATCACTGTACGGGTAGACATGGTCACTGGGTGGATAGGTGTTTCTCATCGTCTGATTACGAAACACTTGATCGCCGACCTAGCCAAAAGAATCAACTGTCACCTGGGCAATAACCAGATCAAGCACCCGAATCACCTATATTGTAATACACCGCCACGTAGAAAACACTCAATGAATTAACAAAATTGACCACAGAAGGCAGCGGTAACATTAAAATAGGGAATTTACTTATTATGTCCCTAAATATGTACCTATCGAAAACAGAAAGAAGTAGCAGAAAAACTATGCTGCGGACAGAAATGCGCATGAAAATGTCCTACTCGAAACCAGCTGGTCGACATGAAATCGTTAACCGACTGAGAAGTCCAAAATGAGCTTTTCTGCAAATATCTAGGGATTACCCGTTCTCTACCCTCCGTAAAAAGATGGACAGCAAAACACTAAACCTGACGTCAATCACTTGTGTCAACGCTACAAACGTTCACTGAATACTCCACAAACTAATCAGTTGTTTTCGAAGCTATAGTGGTGCTGCAAAACCAAGTCTTACCGCAAAATTCCCTTTGTGTATTGTGACAATTAATCAACCGTTTCGTGCCGTGTAACCGTCGCCAGATTTGCGACTCCTACACCAAACTCTGGCTCCTACCAGTTTGCTCCTGGTACGACAAAGGAAGGTTAAATAAATATTGCTTGTTACCGCCAAAAGCGTGCATCTGCTGATAGGTCCACAGCATTAATTTCGACATGATAGGACACAGGCATTTTTGGTTAAATAAAAACTTTCCAAAGCCATATTCATTAGATATCCAACTTTCATCTTTAAACTAGATAAGTGACCCCCAATAAATATTATTCGAGATGGAGGTATGCCGGTACATCATCGCGTCCCGGTGAGGTAGCTCAAGCCACCATTACGTTTGTTGCTGGGCAACGCTTCTGTGGTTTTTGAGATCTATCTCATGGTTTATGAAGATTTTCATCGTTGTCATCATTATAATGATCACCGAAAGCAACAACACATGCTGGTGCCTAACTGCCACATAACAATTGAGTTGAAGGTTGCCACTGAATGTTATAGGCAATTTTCGGTGGTTTGTTTAGGTGGGTAAGCAGGAGGTTATGAGATTTCGGGGTTGGACAGTCTACTTGAGGTCCAAAACACTTCTGTGAATAATTCTTGTTGAATGATGACTATACATTGACAGGTTTCAGCTCGAGAAAATACTTAACACATCCTTACCACTTCTATACCCGGTATTTAGTTCACATCGCAATACTTGGAGATACGGGCGTAAACTCAGAAAGAGGTGAAAAGCGCTGTTGCCATTTCTCATAGAAATGTGGTTCTCTCCGAAAAAACATGAACCCCAAACAGATATTTCTACATATTCCAGTAAACGTTGCTGAGGGAAATTAGGGATGTCAGGATACAGCTCAATCATCCCTCGGTTGGTCGGCTGATAAAACCTGATCTGGCGTTCGCTCTCTTTGGGTGAAGAATCTTCTAGATCCTGTAACGCACAGGTGGCAAGAAAACGTTGCTCAGGAGCAGAAAGTGGGAGGGTTGGTGAGCAACACAGTGCGGTGACCTCACAAGTCGATCAAAAAAGGGTTCGGTTTGCCCCTTGAAACTCTCATTTTATTGCACAAAAACATTGCGTTTTTCTTAGTATAAAACAGCCTTCCTGGCGCCATTCAGAACCTTGCGTTGGCTGTTCTAATTCACATGAATGTGATTAGTTCGATTCTTGATTGGTTCTTTAAGAGCTTGTGTTTGGCGGCCTTTGTTTATCTGTATTCCCGACTAAAACAAATGAAGCTTGGTGACGGGATGACATTAGTTTGCGTTGATCTTCTACAACACACAGTGAAATACTTGGAGGTTTTGAACCAGATTTGGACAGTTATTAGATGATCCAGTTGCACTGCAGCATGTTGCAGGCACTGAATTGCTCACCAAAGACCGCTGCTTTGTGGTCAGGCTTTGGTTGGGGACCCTAATCACCCTCCTGTCTAGGTGGGCGCCCTGACAATAACTCAGCTCATGTACAACATGAATTCCATATACACAAATAAACTCATGCCACATCGGCCATCGCGTGGTCGCCTTAATTGCTACATACAGCAGGGCGGGTAAGCGAAAACATGCTACTGCTACATACTTTTCTTCCCGTTCTCCCCGCCCTATCAATAATTCTCTCCTTATAGGCCAAGCGCTTAGGACTGGTGACTCTGTTCGTCCTGCTCCAGTTATGTAAGCAACATTTGCGCGTCATCTGGAGCCGAAATCCTTAGGCATCTCGAAATCAATATTCAAGCCTCGACGCACAGTCTCGCTAATCGCCTTTAATATCCGTAGTCCGAAGCAACCAGGTCAACAATTTGCCCTTGCTCTCACACTGGACTCGCTTGGCATTGATGTCTGCTGTTTATTGGAAACGCGAATTCAGGATGCAATCTAACCGCCTTATCACTCTCCACTTGCTTCCGGCTGTGCACCTCTGGCGATTCAGAGGCTGCTGCAGGCAGGATATGCAGCCATTGGCATCGTCCCATACGACCTACCGGAAGGTCCTTGTTTGACTGGATACCCATTGATAGTCTCCTGACGGAGGTTATTCTGGCATTGTTTGTGGAGCAGTCTCACAAAGTTGTTAATGATGACGATAATGTTGGCCAATTGACTGCAGACGCAAGCAATCTGTGTTGGTTTACGCACTGATTGCGCGCTGCAAATAACTTTCCCGCATTTCTGATAAAAAAAATTGGTCAAACGGTGGGTAACAGGTTGCCACTCAGTAATTAGACAATGTTTAATGTACAGGATGTGCAGTTGTGCACGCGAACGCAACACACTGCTATGTCCGCCCCAGATACAACCAACAGAAGTGTATACAGGTGGTAAATGAAACGCTTGCAATTCAGATGAATCCTTAATATGCATTGGACCTAATCTTGTATCCCAATCTCGCTAACGAAATAGATAACTAGGTGTTGCAAAATAGTACCACATGTGGGTCTTTTACATCTTGGTTGCAAATATGCATATTTTGCGAGACGTTTTAGAATGACCTACATGAATACCATATTTCGGGTACCCGTGCCATGACAGTTACCATTATTCTCACATGTAGATCTCAAATCCTGACGTAACTTATTTCGTTCTCTATCTTTCCCATAACTTGCTGTACTCCAAAGCACTCCAAAGCAGTCTTCTTGAGGTTTCATCATTTATGAATTTTCATTTGATTTAGTGGTAAACATGATGTTTTCTGCATCCGAGATTAACATCAGATTCGCTTAACCCTGACATGGGCAACAGTTTTCTGGCATTTGGGTACTCCTGGTGGGGTTTTCAGAAACAACCCGTGAATGTTGAAGCCCTGTTTTCAAGCAAAATGGCTTCCAACTTCAAAGGCCGTTTTGGTAATGCAAGACACTCGGAGCATGGCGGTCACTAATATACCTCAGTTATTGCTACACTGACATTACTAACTCATAGATTGGCGGCGCGTAGGGACAGGGATCTTCCCGGGGACTATGGGGAGATATTAACCCACACATAGATTGTGTGCCATCTTCCCTGCTTTAAAACAAGTGAGCGGCCTTTATTTGGTCGTTTACCTAAATGAATCAGGTCTCGCTAATATCTTTCCAAACAATATGTGCGGTTTCCAAATATTACGCGCATCGTTTCGTGTAACGTTACACTTTTTATGTCCTAGGTGCTGTTGGGAGCGCAATGAATCACTGGAGGCTTTATCTGGAAATAACTGGTACATCGTGAAACGTTCCGTACATTGTATTTCTCGGATATTCCCATTTTCCTGTAGTGTTGCGGTTATGGATTTAGTCGAGCCGCACAAGCCGAATCTTAGTCTTCATAATAAAGTGGTAAATACTCGCTGATGGTTTATTCACTTACTGTAACATGTCGGGTTAGGTTTGCAATTGAAGAGAATAACGGTAGCTCAATCTGCACTGATGGTTGCTATTTACCCGCTGAACCGTGCCATTTGTTGCAAATGTCTCATCACCATTCGAAGCGACATCATCAGCGCACTGAGTAGAAATCCGTGGGTGTTGCGCCAGTGTTGGCTGATATATGGTTTACTAGACCAGCCCTATTTTGACCGATCGTTGGTTGTTCGGATGAGCATTTCTATTGACATATTCGTCTTTTCAACGAGAACTCAGTGAGATTCGGACTCCCGAACAGAAATAGATATGTTCACGGTCTGAAGTCAGACGGACACTACAATTTCTCAAACTTATCTGTTGAACAAGAGGACCTTCGAAGTAGGAACTACTGAAACACTTTCATTTCTCGATATCCGTATTAACAAGCGACAGGTTGCCTCTAAGACGGGAAACTCACTTAGTACGAACAGTAAAATAACTTCAAGCAAAAAAGGAACCTTGTTCGATACCATGCAAACACAACAAGAAAACATGTACAGAAGAAGCGACTGAAGAGGAAGCAATGACCATAGCTAGCATGTTATTGTTTCAGAACGGATTTCCTGGAAGATTTATTAGCAAACTTATGCTTGGATAACCAGCGAGCCCACGGGTAAGTACTTTAGGAAAGAAAATGATCCATCTCAGTCCGTTATAAGGATGGAACACAATGATAAACTTGGTGAACTTCCAGCTATTCAGGACTCTACGTAGAACCATATCAGCGGAGATATTCCACTCCCAGTCCAATGGTCCAGCCATGGGGTAGTATAACTTACAGACTGTATACCACTACCCGTTGAAAACATACTACTTTATTCATTGTTGCTGAGCAGCGGGATATGTCCGACGTGTATCCAGCATCTCAGCAACGGATAAGGGAACATTGCTGTCTAGTTGAAAAGCTGGAAAAAATAGTTCCAGTGCCTATTTACAAACCCTAACAGATCTAATAAACAAAATTGGTGACTTTCAAGTCATCTATGGAGCGTGCAACTATGTACGTAATCCAACGCAGGCTCACCAGATTACAACCACTGGGATGTCTACGGATAAAAATGCTTCACAAACCTGCTAAACTTTGTCTAGATGGAGCACGGACCGGCCCGAAGGCCAGCAGTCCTCCACAAACGCACTACTTACTCAGACTGACCAGAAGCCGATGGGTCAGGTCATGCTGTTGCTCGCCTGGTATCGTCGCGCTACCAGGGTCAACCGAATACAAACTAGTTTAATTTCATTGGGAAGTTCAAATAAATCCCAGTAGAATCTCACAAACTGAATGTGCTGCTAAAAAGCCGCTCCCTCTCAAAGTTTCTGAGATACTAGAGATATCACTGTTGGTTTCCTCACCGAACAAAGCACATAAGATAAGTGATAAGTCTTCGGCAGCCCATAACCGGTTTTGCCGGCTGTATAATCCCTCAGCTTCCGTTGCCTCGCATCTGAGGCATGTCGCCAAACATTCATTTCTTAAAAATTTGGTTTGAACGGGACACTTAGCTGAATTCCACAATTGAATACACTTCACAGGGAGTACCCAGTTTGACTTGTCTATCTTGTTAATATTTGTTTAGATAGATAGGGATCGAAATTTGCCACAGCCCAAATATTAAATTTTATTGGCGCGTCTGTTAGCCATTGCACATACGAACAGGTTGGGCACAAATAAAAACATGGAATTTAGGTTGGGAACAGTAGAAATGTAGAACCTGCTCAAGGCTTAACACCAAAAAACCGCCGGTACGAGCTCATTTATTCTGGTGAACCGGTGGCTTTCAAAAGTAGAAAGGCATTTTAGGACTTATTTATTTGAGGAGTGGGCTGCAAACTGAGAACGGATGGGTCGCATAAACGGCGCAGTACAGAGGCAGAGACCTGTTGTAAATATTTTGCCCACTGTTATATCTACTGATTCGTCAATCTGTGGTATCTGCTGCTGACCCGCTCCAGTGCCTAGTGTCGGAGAGAAAAGACTCACAGAAGGGAACATAACAGCTATATTCCGAACAAGCGAGTGAGTGCGTGCGAGTGCGAGTGCAAAAGTTACAACGGCCCCACGCTATTTAAAGGGGACTTTCTGACATTGATCCAGGCTGTCTGATAGGCGTTAGTGATCACCCATCAACATCGATCGTGCCTCTGTGAAAAGCCTGAACGCTGATCACATTCGGTCGTGCTTCTGTGGCGCAGAGAACACTCATCAGGTTTTACTGAATTGATCGAATGATTGACTGGCCTGGATGCTTGCCGGCTTTCCAGTTGAGCTTTTGGTGGAGCAGTAGGTTCCGGGCGTTCAGAAGTTGATTTCAGGAATCTGACCTTCCTGATACCCACCCATCTGGATTCAGATTTTATAACATATATTTTCAACAACTTTGGTGTACTCACAAACAAATCTTCGAAAGGATTTCGTTCAGCGTTTTGACTGACAGCTCCTGTGTATTCTAGACTCTACAAGACACCCTCCTGATTTCACCAAACCTGCCAATACATAGCTTTCATTGGGCTAGCTAAATTCTGCCGTAAAACCGATAAGATACAGCACCTCACATAAAGTGACGATGACAATTCTGAGATAAGCGATTTCCATGTATGCATTTGGAACACTATATGTAGAGTTTCCAACGTTGTGTGTAGTTGTGGTTATTTCGGTCTAGTCACGATCAATGCGTATTGAATGATGAAAATGAAGATCTACATCGCTGGAGAGCAGGATCTGGGTCAATCTGTGCAATCCAGAATAATTAGCAGTTGAAAAACCGATGGCCATGCGATCATTTCGGCTCCACAAGTGTTCGGAAGTTGGGGGACTACATGTTCCATAACGGCATTAACTGCGCCTAACACCCGTATTACTAAGGAAGACCTAGTCGTTCGCACAAATCATAGGTGGCCACCATTATCATTATGTCTCACATCTAAACTGAACGTATCATTGCGATGTATCTCTGATGAACTTACGTGTTGAAGTCTTCGGTTAGTACATGCCATGTTGCACAAGGCAGTAATTTAGTTTTTGATAAGAACCAGATCTACATTTGATGGGTATGTAAATGGGGACTATAACTATAGTAAGTTCGAGTAATTATGAACTTGGAAAATCGGACAATGGAGTCGGCTGTTAAGGCAGGCAAGAAAGCCTCAGGTCGTGATGGAGGTCTACTACTATACAGGCGCAACGGTTACAAATTAACCTGAAGATCATTAATGCAGATGCCAATTAATTAAAAAGACAAATTACACTCAAGACTATCAAGCTCGCCCATTCATTTGGAATTAGGTGCAGATCTTGAAGCCGGTGACTGCGCAACGAATACTTCTAAACATGTACTACGGATACTTAATCAGCACCGTGCCGATCGCTTCAATCACTCTGTGCGGTGCATCTGGGGTAGGTTCGGCGAAATCCGCTGGATACCTATCGTGTTTTTATGTTTTGTTTGGTATTCTAACTTTCAGACAAAACTGTTACTACAGACCTTATTAGCCCCCTGAGACGGTGTACGAATTGTCACTCGCTTCACACTCAATACATGAGCACCCTATGCATTAGCTGAAAGAAAGCAGATCAACTTCGATGACATGCGTAACATGCAAGATGGCGATGTTTCGGAGTAGAGGTGATTCGGGTACGCTGCTTGTTTTTTGGTCCGCTCGCCAAGCTTGGCGGCTGGATTGCTAACGTTTCATCACTGATAGTGGGTTGTCGAAAACATTCAGTGAGATTGTGGGTAGAGTGTAATCGTGGCAACATTATTTTTTCTGGGAACCCATTACAGCCTGATTACTCTATTTTCAGTCGGCAGGTGGGTTGCAAAATTTCGCATCAAATTCCATGCTCAACAGACAAACATCGTGCTAACATAGTCTAATCTAATCCTTTAGAATGATTATCTCAGCAGCACTTTGGTACAATCGGCACAAAAGACTGAGGCGACCGAATTCAGCAGAAAAGTGTACTTAACGCAAAGTGATGTCACACGGTCTGCGTACGGGAAATTGCCTTTTTTCCATTGTTATCAGAGTTGGCTCAAGTGGTTAGAGCGCGAATTTACTGACCGGAAGGTCCGTGGTTCGAACCCGACCTCCGCCACTCGACTTCCCCTGTCTAGGCTTGGGCAACCTGACAGTATCCCAGCCCTCGTGCTTCCTTCGGGTGGCATGGCAGTTAGGCACCGAAAGGGCGCTACAGCTGAACGATTTATTTATTTATTTATTTATCAGAGTTTAACCAAACTAATACGCCAGTCTGAATAAATGGTAAAACTCAACCAAAGTGGGGAATGTGGCATCTTTCAAATAACTATCCGAATAAACGTTGATTCAAAATAAACATTTTGATAGACAACACACAAGCGTCAATAGGTTACAAAATTACGGAATATCCTTGCAGAATTTGTCGTATGTTTCTTTCAGGATCACGTATGAAGCCACGTATCGCTCTTCGTTGTCTCGGCAGGCAGCCTTCCACCTACAAAGGGCATAAAATGCACATTAAAGTTCCGACATCACAAGAACAAAAACACAGGGGACCAGGGCATCACACTCAGCACAACTGGTAGCTCACGGTAAGCGAACAGAGATCTTAAGAACCACCTTTAAGACAAAAGATTGGCGTATGCTCTATCTGTACACCTGAAGTGAAAATCGCACCATAATAACCGCGTTGATAAGTATCCATGGGTTATTCCGCTGCGACTCTGCGGTATTTCGCAGAAGTCCCTGGTTAAGTGTTTAGTGAAATATGTTGAGAGCGTTGCTAAGTAAATCGACATTTTGTGCTGAATTTCTGGTGCATGTCCCCTGTTTTGCTGGCGACGCAGGTGGTTGTCATGCGCCGGCTTACATATGTAGTATTCGCGTACCTCTATTTGTCATGTAACCTCTGCAAACTAATTGATAAGCTCAGTCAACAAATCAACAGCTAACCGATCAACTACCAATGAACGCACTTCGAGCTACCAGGTGGATACTACTGATGAGGCGTGCGAGTAGTGCTTTCCCGCGAATCCGCTTCGCGTCTGTTGGAAAGTGGGGTTTATTACGGAATTTGTGGAATCTTTTTGCAGCATGCGTTTACATTCGAGTGATAGGTAATGAATATTCAGGAAAGTTCAGAAAGACGCGTTCCAGAAGACGGATACTCAGTTTTTATAAACAAGGTACATATTAGAGCTTGGCTTCCTTGTCCAATAGTCTATAACTGTTCGGTTGGTGTTTTCATAAATAAGTCCACAGCGAAGGCCTTCTTCCTGTCATTTGGTGTCGTGACCAGGATAAGGATAAGGATATCACAGCCACAACCCTTTGAGGATAGGGATATGCGGACCTTTCTGGAGGACTTGGAGGAGATTGCGGAGGCTGCTGGACTGGACACCGACCGGGGAAAGTTGGCGGCGCTGAAGTCACTCCTAAGAGGCCGGGGGAGGCGGCCCTGGATACAACCGGAAGGGGCTCTCAGAAAATGGACTGGGACGCGGCGAAGGAGGCTCTTGCAGCGGAGCTCGACACACCAACCGACCATCAGGAGGCTATGAGGCGGTCCGACACAGCCAGGATGGTAACTGGATTTGACCTGACCGTGTTCTTCGACACCCTGCAGCGGTCGCTGAATAGGGCTTTGCCGGGACTGGACAGTGTCCCGCCAGCAGTTGCTGTCTGACCAGTGTGTCTGACCGGTGTGAAGCCTGCGTTTGGCGAGAGCAACTGGCTAACTTGAGTGTGAAGGACCTGGTGCATTTTGCACGGGAAATGGGCGCGTTACCACTGGCCACGTTGCAGTCACAGAACAGGCATGGTTCACCACTGAAAGAAATGCAAACCAGAGTGAACTAACTAGCGGAACAGCCCGCAGACATAAAGACGGAAACGCGTTTCTTCTTCTCTTTTCCCAGGTGGGTTCCGATTAGCGCAGTGACACTGTCTACTATACAAGCCGTTATCGAGATAGACGGGAAGAGAGAACTGTTCTTGAATGACACAGGAGCGGAGGTATCGCTGAGGCAGAGAGGCAACGAAGCTGAATGCAAACCGTGCACGCTAGCCGTGAGAGCAATGAGTAGATATCGAATGAAAATTGACGGATCAATGCACTCAATACGCCTAGGCGACAAGTCCGTGCAGCACACTTTCCTGATCAGCCCAGACATGGAGCAGACAATATTGGGGGCGGATTTTCTCAAGGGCACAGGCTCCGTAAGTGACCCAAAACAGGGATAACTGATGACAAGGTATGGCGCACTCAAGCTTGAAGGGTACCCAAGCACTGCCGTGAGCGAGTTGTATGTCCGAAAGCTTTCATCTTATAACGTGTCGTCTGTACGGTCCGTGGTCGATGAATATTCCGAGCTGTTAACGGGCGATGAGGATCCGTTTGGCTTCTGCCCATGAATGGAACAAGAAATTCCCCTCTCGTTGGAATGGCCCCCGTCCACTGCCGCTCCAACTACGGGAGGAAGTCCATAAACAAGTTCAAGAGATGTTTAAAAATGGCATAATCGAGGAATCCAACAGCGCGTACAACTCCCTGGTTGTGCTTGTAAAAAAGCGAACGGAGAGTATCGGTTTTGCGTGGATTTCTGGTGTTTGAATGAAGTGACCGTAAATCGGGTTGTAGCTGTGCCTTCGGTTGTGGCGAATTTCGATTCCCCCCAGAATTCCCGAAATTTCACGGTGGTCGACTTGTGTTCCGGATACTGGCCACTATCTATCAAGGCGGAGGACCAAGAGAAAGCGGCCTTCACGATTGGGGACACCCAATATCAATTTGGACGGATGCCGTTTGGTTTGTCTGGGGCACCATTCACATCCCGGAGCTTGATGCTTCGTCTAACGAAGGTACTACAGAATGTTGCCGTGTGCGGAGGCGATATCTTTGTGTATAGCGATTCGGAACCAGAGCACGCAGTTCACTTGAAGGTCGTATTGTAGCGTATCCGGGAGGCTGGCCCGCGGATAAATGAAGCCAAGGCACAGCTCGCCTGGAGCTCGGTGACACTGCTGGGGTATAAAGTGGGTCATGGAGAGGTTAGCCCACTGCCAGAAAAAAATTGACAAACATCGAGGAGTGTGCTGCTCCCAATTCAAAGCGGTCTCTATGGCATTTTCTTGGACGAGCAGCAAACTACAGGCGATTTGTCAAGGAATTCAACACGATTGCTCCTTCACTGTACGACATCCTCGGGCAAAATCGGAAATTCGAATGGACCAGCAAAGCACGTGAGGCTTTCGAGCGTGTCAAAGCGCAGACGCTGCGTCAACGACTGAGCCTCAAACCGCCCAGAGTCGGAGAGATGTTCACTTTTGCAACAGACGCTAGTGACCGATATCGCCGCAGTCATAAAGCAGAGGGATGGAGTTATCGAATATGCCAGTCGTGTCCTGACTAAGGCTGAACAGAAGTACTCGACCACTGAGAAAGAATGTTCAGTGATTGTCTGGGTCCTGATTAAGTGGAGACCATATCTGCTCGGACAAAGATTTCGTTTCGAAACCAATCACCCATCTCTGGAGTGTAGCAGGACCACCAGAGATCCTCGCAGGAATCTCGTACGCCGGGCACTCTGGTTGCAAGAGTATCAATTCACGATTCAGCACGTGCCAGGGAAGGAGAACCACCTGGCCGATTGGCTGTCAAGACCAGAGCCTAAAGATGAGGCCCCCAGGATCATGATTGGGGCCAATAGCCTCGTCATCGAAATGGATCCCGGAAGGTTGGTGCAAATTCAACGGCAGGCTCCTGTGTTACAAAAGGTTGTGTACGCCTTGTTGGATGGAAGGAGTATTGGGAACGGAGAGAGGGACAATGAATTGGAGACGCCCCAGAGTCACTTTGATCGGCTGAGTCTGAATGATGCTGGCGTAATTTCGTGGAACGCCACCAATTAGGATGTTATGTTAGCTGTAGCGGTGGATGCGAGTAGTATGTTTTCTTGTAAATCCGCTCCGTGTCTGTTCGAAAGAGGGATTTATTACGGAATTTGTGGGATTGGTTTGTAGCATTCGTTTACATTTGAGTGATAGTCAATAATATCCAGGGAAGTCCAGGAAGACGCATTCGAGAAGACGGATATTCAGTTCCTATAAACAAGATGCACACGAGAGTTTTGCTTCCCGGTCCAATGATCTGTAACTGTTCGGTTGATGTCAGGAGCAAAGACTAAGTTTAAGGTACTTACATGGTTTCAGTAGCTGAAATGATGGAGCAGTTTGAAGTTTCACTGTTGGATACTTCATCCTCGGGATTTTTCATATTTTAATATCAATATCACCGTTTTACAGTTGTGTAAGTTGTCGCAGCGATACAGTAAGGGTATATTTTTGAGTTTTCTTACGGTAATGATCAAATGCCACACCTTTTGTCGGCATGGCTTTTATCGTCGAACACTTGCTCCGTATTTGTTTTGTTCACCGATTACACGAAACGTAAGATTATTTCGTGTTCCTCTATTTGATGGCAAACCACGGCCACCTTGAAAAATGCTTCAAAAACAAGTCAGTTCTGAATAAGTTTTCGTGGCTCGCATAAGTGAGTCAGTATGTGACTTTACACGTAAGCTTCATATATCCGGCGTAAGGAAGCTCAAAGCTAATAGTGTGCAATGTGGAACAAGAAGTTTTTAAACATTCCTCTGCATTAGAAGGATGAAATCCATCGACACATTTTTTCAAATCCCACGTGTTGAAGGAGATTGAAGCTAATATTAACGAACGACTTTCCATGAGAGGCGCTGGGTGACCTTGAGATTTCTCCAGTGCACGACGAAATACGCTATCGAAATAGAAGCGACATTTTGAAGAAATCTCAGAATCCAAAATTCCGTAGTTTTGGTGAAATTTCAGCTTGCATCTAGTGATCGACGCGTCTGCAAGCAGCGTGAGTCCAACAACCTTGGCGATTGCAGTTCTGTGGTGCAAATATTGGGTGACCTGCACCAATTTAGTTACAAACCCCGACTTGTCACTAAAGTCTCATCCTAACAATTTCAGATAGAGTTTCCTAACTTCGTAGTTGAGAATAGCCAGAACCCAGACTTGGCGACCGAACTTTGACGACTTTTTGATATCATTCATTAAATTATAAGTAATGTAGTGTAATTGGTATGAGGAAAATGAGAAGAACCTGCCTTCAGCCACTATGCAGCACAACCAGATAAAGAAAATTGCCAAAATAGAAGATAGGGAATTTCAACAGACCGATTGTAGTCACACTCGCATAATTCTACGGAGAACACCTGCATTTTTAGGAAACCAGCAACTTTGCTTATTGCGTCAGTTGTTGTCTTTTTATTGGTTATAGAAATGTACAGGTATATTATATTATCCGTTTTAGACAGTTCATCTACCGCGATTACGCCAGTGCTCAATAGGTGGCTCAGAAGTTCGATGAAACACTTGCAATATATATTTCTGTAGCTGAAGTCTGTCCCAGTCCTATATCAGTATCCTGAAGAGTTCGGGCGGACGACTAGGTGCTCTAATTATAGCTAACTCATAAAAAGTGAAGAACCATTGTGTTGTCGTTAAGTAATCAATTCTTTGGTCTGTTTAACATGTTTCTTGACCCTTGATACACTTGCGCTGCTGAGCTGGGTTGTTTCGAGATTTTTGCTTTTGCTTCTCAGTTTTACTAACCAAATGGCTAGCCAGTGCTAATTACCAGCTGTTTTATATACCGACTGTCGTCGCGGAACCAATCATGGCGTTTCGAACGCAGTTGCCTGATCTGGTTGACTGCCGACCCAATCAACTAGTGCTTCAAGCTCTGTCACGCTTTTGCCCGCGAGCTGGGCGGAGTGATGGCTTTTGGAGCGGAGGATAACAAATTGATTTTCCAATATTTTGGAGTTGGTTTATTTAACTGGCGTAGTGTGGCTTACGAAGCTTGATGTTGAATTTCGTCCCAACAAGCTGGTGATCTAATCTGAGGGCGACCCTTCTCGCCACTCGTGATGCACACCTGTCGGACGTCGCACTGGCAAGCACTACCGTAATCTAGCAGGTTAGATTGGCTAGTGTGTGGATGTGTTCATGTTGCGATGTATTGCTGTTCTAGAGCAAATCTTGTATTGGTTATAGTAAGGGCTTGGATACAAAAAATAATTCATACCGCTAACAGATATGGTTTAATCATTTGTGTTTAATACAAGTACGCCTAAGATTACAACGCCGATAGCCTACTAATTAAGTGTCAAAAACCGCGAATTTTGGCATACCCCAATACTCACAATCTCCTGATTTCCTGAGGGAACGTGGGAGACATGAAGGTACATGAATAAAAAGCAAACGTTCAGGGATGGGGACTGACGTGGAACACAGGTGAAGAACGAGGCGGAAATTCGGTATTGCGGTGGTAAAAGGGACCTTATCACACCAGGCAAACCAACAGACGGAACGGACTTATACTTGAGGCATTCAAACCAACAAGCGCTTTTGTGACTACAGACATCCGACTTGGCCATTGGTGAAATGCATTGAAGGACGAAGAAAAGTAAAAACAACGCTTACTTCCGACGAATTTCGCGCCATCTAGTGATGTGTTGTTCAAGGAGACCCTCTGGTGACATTTCCTTGGGTGGATTCTATAAAATGCTAGTAAAGTTTGAGAAACCACTTACCTCAACGTTAATGAGAAACGGTTGGCCGTCTGAAGGCAATGGCGTTGGTATTCTCACATCATTGTCTGTCAAGCCGTCAACAGGCTTCGGAAGGGCATAATGACAATCGGCAAGATGATCTGCATTCTGAAAATCCGGAAGTGAAGCAAATGTGAGAACATGCTACCGTGCAGTTAGGCTGCCGGTGTGAAATATAACCGTTCGCTTCCTAATTCGAATCTTTGGATGTGGATAGCTTTCCCTGCGCAAAAAATTTGGGTCTGTCAGACCACGACTTGTTCTCATACTACATACTATCCCCTTCTCAGATTTCGCTTGAATCATCCTAATAATAATAATAATAATAATAATAATAATATTAATAATAATAATAATAATAATAGAAGCAAATGTGAGAACATGCTACCGTGCAGTTAGGCTGCCGGTGTGAAATATAACCGTTCGCTTCCTAATTCGAATCTTTGGATGTGGATAGCTTTCCCTGCGCAAAAAATTTGGGTCTGTCAGACCACGACTTGTTCTCATACTACATACTATCCCCTTCTCAGATTTCGCTTGAATCATCCTAATAATAATAATAATAATAATAATAATAATAATGCCCATTTCGGCGCCTAGCTGTCATGCCCTCAGAGAAGAAGCACGAGGGATGAGATACTGCCAGGTTGCACAGACCTAGACAAGAGCAGCCGAGATGCCGGGGTTGGATTCGAAACACGGATCTTCCGGCCAGTCAGTTCGCACCTAAACCATTGAGCTACCCCGAGCTCAATTATTAGCTTTTTCTGCTGTGATACACCGAGTGTGTTCATCCAGTTTCATACTACATGCAACTTCAAAAGACGTCTTCGAGCAACTCTGGGACGGTGCAACACCAGACGACTCTACTTTGGACTCAGTAGTTGTTTGTCCGCATGGCTGACAAAAATTGTCAACACATACCCCACGTTACTGCTTAGCTTGACCACAATAAAGTGGTCAGAAACGTGTCAAAAGTATGGAGCTGCCTGTATTCTCATTTCGTGGAGCAAAGGGTATCAGAATCAGTGATTCCAGGAAAACCGAGGAGTAAATCAGGTTAATATGCCGCCTCGTCATAGAAATTGCGGTATTGGCAAGAATCCCTACACCAGCTAATCCTGCGTTGTAACCTGGAAGAGATAGGTGCTATTTCGGCAGAACTTCATCACCGAGTGGGGCTTGTTTCCGTAACGAAGAGACTGAACCTTACAGCGGTGGAGGTCAGCGTGCTTCCACTAACCATGGAATAACATTTGGTGGTGTCCATGTGATACTCGCAAAGCCGATCATATGAAGTTTGTCAATGGTTAGAAGTCTAACACAGCATCCTGACCCTCCAGGTTAGGGGTTGGGAAGTGTGTAGCAACTTGTAGTGTTCTGGCGTTTGCCGCCAAGCCCCGTTGCTTTACGGTAGGATTTTAGCCAAAAAAAATTCATCGAGGGTCATAATCATACCTCTGTCCAGGTCTGGGTGCACTGTCAATATCCGAGCCCAAATACAGACATGAAATGCGAAAGTACAAATGAGTTCATACCAAATCGGCAGTCGCACTGTGCCACCAGCCGGGTCGCCTTCTTTGCTACAAAGACCAGGTTACTGCTGACGCCTCTCTTCTTCCTCGTTCGTAAGCATTTTTTCCTCTTACCCTCACCTTATTAATAATTCCTTGTAGGTCCATCCGCGGGGACTGATGACTCCGTTCGTCCTGCATTGGCCCTGGCCACCCAATCTGCGCGGTAGCTGGTGCGCATAGCCCTAAGCATCAAGAAACTGGTAAACGAGCCTCGATGGTTGCTTTTAATGCATGCACTCTGGAGCAAGTAGGTTTGTATCGTCCTAAGTCACCATCCGAAAAGAGACTTATCTGACTGGATGCCCGCTGATAGTCACCTCCTCGCGGTTCGTCTGGCAACGTCTGTGAAGGAGTCTCACAAACGGGAAGTTGATCTGTGGCCGTCTGTCGTGTCTGCTTAAGCCAAATGTAAATCTGACACCATCAGGGACAAGTTTTATGACGCCCTAAATGTCCTGTTGAGGCGAGCTAGAAGCGCATATATCGTTGTGGTCGTCGGAGATCTGAATGTACAAGTGGGTGCGCTTGGAGCGTACCCACGTGGATTGAACTCGGTACATACTGACAATGGTGAACGATTGCTTGAACTATGTGCTGACTGCAGGCTGTTTCATGTAGTACTAAAATCCGAAATAGCCGAAGTCGTCTGGACACATGGTGTCCTCCAGCAGCGTGCAAGCCGCGAACTCAACTCGATCACATTGCAATCACTTACTGATGACGCGGATCAATAACTGACGGTCCGTCGTTTCGGAACACATTTGTGGATTCCGACCAAGCACTCGTCCGGAGTCACCTCTCCCTTCGTTTTCTAGGGCCGTGTAAGCTGGCAACTGAGAGACTGGAAGATCCGGATGTGAGATGGATTTACCAGAATCGTCAACTAGTCTCCTCCAAATTCTCCATCATATAATAATTCATACTGGGCGACATCGTCACCTTTTCGCAGTGCTGGGAGTTTTTGCCTGTGGCACGGTGCTACTAGGCCCACTGAAGTACTGGATATCAGACTGCTAAAATCTCGCAGAAATAACTAAACAGGTCCCGAACATAAATTGACGTGACTAATTATCGGATATCAAGTGAAGGTGAGCGTGCGAATCAACCATGAAGTCTGGTAGACACAAAAAGGGGCCCAGAAAGCCTGCAAACCCCGGAGATTATTCCAGTTGATCCGCGCGACCTGTCTCTGGAAATCATCAAAGACCGAAAATATCTTGAATAAAGAACACCTCGTTCGTTAGGTCGAATACTTCGGACAACAGTTATCGTGGCCACAAGCTGCAACTCATCTGGAGCCCACAACTGACCTACAACTTTGAACGTGAGCGTGGAACCCTCTGCGGCCTCGGGGGTTAATGATTGCATATGTTCTCTCATATGTCCTGGTCCGGATGACCTCCCAACCACATTGTTCAAAGACGGTGTTGAAATCCTCAGTGAACGCTTGTCTGATCTGTTCGCCTGTATTTGGGAAAAGAAGACTGTCAAAGACAACCAAAAGGAGTTGGTGAAAGTGCCCGCTTTCAAAAAAGCTCGTAGTGAGTGTGGTAACCACTTGTAACGAGACTGGCGGCGTCACTTGTGCTTTTGCCGCCTTGTGGTGACTCGTGAATCAATAATCAAGAATAGCAAGCAGGATTCCAACCTGGTAGAGGTTGCGTTCACAAATCTTCACAATCCGTCAGGTGCTAAAACAACGCCAAATGTACAAACAACCCATAATTTTGGTACTTCTGGATTTCCAAGGTGCATTCGACTCGACTGGCCGCTCTCTTCCCCTTGACACGCTTGTCGATCATGGAATGACACAGAAGTTTGTGAACATAATAAGTGTAAGAGTGAACGTGATGGAGTATACGCAGAGCTCTCCAAAAGCTTCTGTATACAAAGTGGTGTCAGCCAGGAGTGCCCACCCTCTCCATTCCTTTTTAACTTCGTGATCGGCAAGACAATGAAGCGAACGCTGGATGGTCTTCAAAACCCCGGTGTTCAAATAGCCTGTGACGAAAATCTTGTCGATCCGGAATATGCAGGCCATATCGTTCTCCTCTTCGAAGGGAAGGCGCAGGTGTTTTTGGATGAACTGACCGAAGTCATCCGGTCATTTGGTATGCACTTTGCACCCACAACGCGTAAGGTCATGCTCCTGGACATTCAGTCACTGAACACAACACTTACAATCCAGGGAGTGGCAGTGGAAGTTGTGGAGCGTCTTACCTATCCTGTAAGTTGTATTAATGTGACGGATGAGGTTAACGCATGAATCTGCAAGGTTCGGATCACGTTTGCTAATTTGAAACACCTATGGTGTCGAAGCGGTATATCCCTGAATCTCAAGGAGGGTGTGTAAGAGGCTATAGTACGGGCTGTTTTGTAGTTTGGCTATGAGACTTCGTCTGCCCGAGCAGCAAAACTAAGACATCTTTGATCTTATGTCGTGGAAACTGTGGCCAAAGCGGTATATAATCTCAAGGAGGGTGTGTAAGAGGCTATAGTACGGGCTGTTTTGTAGTTTGGCTATGAGACTTCGTCTGCCCGAGCAGCGCAGCAAAGACATCTTTGATCTTATGTCGTGGAAACTGTGGCCAACCGGAGAGTTTGGTGCATATTTTGCAATCCTGCTGGATTACGCATGATGCCAGGTGTGCTCGTCATAATCGGGTTGCAAGGGAACTTGCAAAACGTCTCCGTCGACTGGGGTACATCGTCTTCGAGGAGTTGAGAACCCCTACTTCTACGTCGTTCATTAAACCTGACCTAATCGCTGTTCGAGATCGCCATGCAACTGTAATAGACGTCAGCATAGTCTCGGATGGGCGTGGTGAGATAGTGTGGAATGAGAAGAAGCAGAAGTATGGTGCTGATGAACATTCCCTCGCCATAATCTCAGCCCTACATGCCATCGGTTGTGATATCGACTTTTTGGTTCACCAACCGATGATCATCTCTTATCGAG